GAAATTGCCCAAGAACAACGGCAGATGGGAATTTTTAGTGCTTCGGGAGAAGATGAACCTTGATTACCTTTTAGCCGCCAAAGGGGGGTTCTGTGAGTTCATCGGAGAGGATTGTTGTACTTGGAGAGAAGACACCGATGACAAGGTCCAGGCCCATATGGACAAAGTTAGTGAACTACAGGGAAAAGCTAGAGCTATAGCTAGTGAGGGTTGGAATCCGTTCAAGGGTTTGGGAGGATTGGGAGATTTCCTGTTTTCCATCGGTTCTTGGTTGAAGGAAGTGGGAGTGTATGTCCTGATGCTTCTCTTTTTCCTCTGCCTCTTATATGCCGCGGTGAGATGTTCCTGTTGCCTCATCAACCGTGTAAACCAAGCTCGGGCAGATGACCACATCTCCATGCCCGCTCCTGGGATCCCACTCCAACCACTGATCGGAGGAAGACCTCACCAACCAACCACCTTCTCTGCAGACTACGTCCTGGCTTCCCTCTAATTTATCTCCCTGAAGACCACATTCTCCAAGACCTCCAAGCAAGCTTCAAGCCTCATCGTTTGTGTCTGCGATTTGGAAAACCATCTGGGTCGAGACCAGCCTTGTGTGGCCCCGTCTGCAGGGGCAATTTGAGAATCTGCTGCTGGATCTCCCCAGACCACCGTGGGATCACAAGCCTTATTCATACCACAAGTCTGTTTGTGGTTTTTGCAAGAGCCTTCCTGTAGTGAAGGTTCCAACGCTCTTGAGGATCATTGCTTCAATCAAGCCTGTTTGCGTCGAGTCTGCGTCGGGTCTTGTTGTTTCAGGTACCCTCATGGAGTTTTATTCTCAGGGACAACTACAGGAACTCTGGTCTAAGACCAACTCTTTGAGGTTTTGAGACTACACCCATCAAGCTGAAGAAGATCAAGAAGGGACACGAGGAGAATATGATAAAACAGGAGGGAATGTCATGGAAATTTTGTATTTACAGGTTGAACTTTAAATGTGTCATATATTAGTGTTATTCATATGTCTCTCGTGTGGCTTAATTAAAGCTCTGAAGGCTGCAATTGGGCCATGCGCATTTACAATGTATGTATTACAGTACTCAGCTCGGTAATGGATGAGATGGCAGATCTGCGCTTATAGACAGGCGTGTATACCACCACGGCATTCGATGCGAATGCCGCCGGCGGTAGGTCGCGGGCCTGTATCCACATATCAGCAGCATAGTACCACATGGACTTCGTACCGCAAGGCGCCAAGCAGTGCGAACTCCGTGTGTAGGCTCATGTATATCTTACAAGCCATTACCGACCTGAACTGTATCTGGATGGATGTGTTTTAATAAAGATCGTATCGGGTCCATTCAGATGCAGACTGGCACTGTTTAATCTAGGGGATGCTTGTACAGAGAATGGACATACTAGTAGGAGCTGATAGGATGGGAAGCCTGCTCTCCACAGAGAGCTCACCATGGGAAAGGGGGAGGGGAGAACTGGTTTCCAGTATAGATAAAAGGAAAGGCTATGCTCCAATCAGGATGTACATTCTGTGTATAGACACTCCCAATTGCATTGTTCTGTGGGAGGGGATTGACCTGACCCTCGTGTGTGGGGGCGTGTGTGGGCGTGTATGTGCTTTAATAAAACAAGAGCCTGGGGTTGGACCTGGGCTCAGAGTGAATTCCAACTGCAACCAGAGAGTGTCGCCTGATCATTCCTGGGTAATGGGAGCTCCATTTCCCCACATCTCAAGATAGCTAACCCAGTTGGAGGCGCAGGAATCGTGGAGCTAAGCTGCAGTCGCGGTAAGCAAAGTTCGCACAGCTTTATGGGGGATTTCTGCGCATCCAACTGCGAGTACTCACGGTAAGGAAAAATTTGTTCCAAGACAGGAGGAAGGGTTGAACTCTGAAGAAGAGGGTTTACTCTCAAAACACATCAGCGTCTGCTCTTTATTGGGTGTCTATTTTGCCTATCTAGAGCTACAAATTGAGGCTATAACTGAAATCGACTTCTGGTTCATGAGTACCTTTCACTCATTTGACTTTTGGAGAATTATTGTCTGTGGTAAAAGGTACCATTGGTAATTCACTAGCTGGTGCACCCTTCTTCCCTTTCTGTTGCCGCCTCCTGATGTTTGTTTTTTTTTTTTTTTTTGGTGTTTTTTTTACTACTGAACAGCAAGTATTCATTGCAGGACTCCATCACAACTGCAAGTCAAGTCACCTGTTGAACTCTTGTCACTTTAAAATGGCTGTACCGCAGCTGCGGCAATGTATACTTACCCGAGTTGTGAAGGTAAATGCTTGGAGTTCCATTTTAAGGAAATTCTTACATATGGTAAACTGGTAATTTTATTTGAAAAACTGTAAAAAAAACTAATACTAGTTTGAGGTGTTTCACATGTTAGAAAATAGTAAACTAGTGACATTAAATATGTGATTATACAGTATATAAATGAAAAAATACAAGCTGGGTGCGATATACTTTTTTATATAAAAGCATACAGATACAGAGCAAGATGCACAATGCTCAACTAAGAAAACAGATAATACATTTGGATTTCATATATGCAATGCATTTATTGCTCTACTTGTAGGAAGGTGCGGTTTGTTTTCTCCATTGCAGGCACTCAAATCAAGTGGCACCTCAGCCTAAAGAGGAGATCCAAGAAAAACAAATTTTCTTTATGGTTTCCTGGGTCAATGGAGCAGCATTCCAGTTGCTTATGCTGCATTCATGTGACCCTCGGCAACCATCTTGGGTCGGCAGGGTCTATTTAAGTCCCTGCCCCTGCATTTTGGTGTGCTTGTGGCCTGTGGCTAGTGTAGGGAGAGAGACCTCAATTGTTAGGGAAAGTAACTAGCAGTAGGGAAAGGTTCCTGACAAGTAGGGAAAGATTAGGGGCTCGCTATCTTGGAAAGGAGCTTCCCTCTTGGGACCAGACTGGCCAAGCCACTCTTTACCCTCTGAAACAGATGCTGTCGGCATCTCTCCTCCTCTACATCTGACTACATTGAGCTCTAAGTTATTTCCCCAGCGATGCTCTCCCACCTGGATGTTTGTAACATTGATATTTTGTTTAATACAAGTTCCAAGCTTTACTGCAACTGGACTCTGTGTATTTACTGCCCGCACCACTCTGCACCTCCCCACACACTTATTTATATGAAAACTGAACAAACACACCCATGCCACCATGTCAGGAATAAATCTTTATAAATAAAATTAGCTACACCTCCAATTTGGGCAACTACCAACAACTGTACATAGCATGATTCATTCTATGGTCTGTACGCTAATGGTATTCAGTGGTGTCTCTTTGGGGTTGATTTATTAAAACCAGAGAGTGCAAAATCTGGTGCAGCTTTGCAAAGAAACCAGTCTTAAATGAGCAAGCTGAAGTTAGAAGTTGATTGGCTACCATGCACAGCTGAACCAGATTTTGCACTCTCCAGTTTTAGTAAATCAACCCCTTATATTCTAACTTCTCCCAATTTTTTTTTTAGTTGCACGGTGGAAAGGTAGAACCTCTGTCTGATTTAATTGCTAATTATAACTCCATCAATGAGATTACCCTACACTCCTTGTCCCAGAGAAAACAAGACGTAAGTGTAAATCTCTCCAAAATGAGAGAAAATCCTATCTTAGACAATGGAGTGAATGTCCCTATTCAAATATTTCCCTTTTGTTCCTCTTCAACTATAAAATTCTACATCCCCCTTTAGGTTCACTTCCAATTGCAATGGTCACCAGTAGAAATAGGGTAAATCTTCCTGACAAGGACACCGACAACAATAAAAGCACTGACAGAGATTCTAGCATTTCAGAGCAATAACTCTTTAATGCTATAGTGACAAACAGCCCCTGTCATTCCAGGGAAATGTTGTAGATGGCTGTATAGGTTATTTTCATAAGATAGCAGAGTCATGTTGCAAAGACAGGAAAGTCAATGGAGAGGGATTTACTAAAACTGGAGCATGGACAATCTGGTGCAATTTTGAAACCAGAAACCAATCAGCTTCCAGGTTTTATTGTCAAAGATTAATTGAACAAGCTGAAGTTAGAAGCTGATTGGCTCCCATGCACAGCTGCACCAGATTCATTGCACCAGTTTTAGTACGTTTCTCCCATTGTCTTCTTCAAAACACTGGAATTACATCCTCTGTACTGCAAATATCTAAAGTAAAATGTGTTCTGTCTAAGCTGCCAATGGATGGTGCCAAATCAGTAGATGACCATACTGTCCAGACAGACTGGGTCTAGGGACCCATGTCAATGCATAAAGCAGCATTTCAAACAGAACAGAGTAATTCACTAAAAATAAAATTCCTACTGCAGGAGTTGCTTAAAATTGTATACACTTAATAATATTCGTATATTAATGCAGACTGCATGGAAATCAGCAAGTCAATCACGGAAGTAAGACATAGCATTTCTGGAGGTGTCCTGTATACCATGGTGTACAGAATGTGTCCAGGTTCATATTAGATTCAATCTGCTGCATCAGATTAAAATGGAAACTTATTTTTTAATAACATTAAATTACAAAATGACTTGTGTAGCATTAGTACATGCTCTATTCATTTTTTTCATTGAAAGCAGAGTTTTCCTTTAAGATTTTGTGCAGTGTGTAGAATGAACACATGACTTGGAAGGATGCTTTCAGTAGGGAAAAGGTCTTTTCCCTGAAATATATGCTTTTCATAGATGCTATCTAATTGGTCAATATGAACTGCAGATTGAATGTCTTATTTGCACTGTTGTGTATTCTGTGGAATTCTACAAGACATAATGGAGTTCATTTGCTAAAACTATGCAAAATCAGGAGCAGCTGTGCATGGTAGCCAATCAGCGTCTAGCTTCAGCTTGTTCAATTAGGATTTGACAAGAAAATCCTGCAAGCTGATTGGTTTCTATGCACAGCTGCCCCAGATTTTGCATCCTCCAGTTTTAGTAAATTAACCCAAATGCAACAATGGACAGTGACAATGTTTCTATACCTTCTCAAATTTATCTTAAACATCTCGCTGTTTTCGTGCAAGCACAAACAAGCTGGAATCATGGTTACAGAGCTCATATTGCTCTTTATCATACTCTCTGTGGATGACTTCCAAATCCACAATGGAAAAGCCTGCCTCAATAATGGCACTTCTCATAAACTCCTCAGTCAACACCAAACAGGAGAACCTCTTGCCTCCAAGTAGGTAAGAGCTACAGTTAAGAATTTCACTTACAATCAGGTGCCCTCCTATTTTTATCAAAGATGCAACATTTTTAAGTACTCTGCGATAGGTATCAAGGTCACTGCAAGCACACTCTAAGCATCCAAAAGTCAGGACACAGTCAACCTTGGGCAGAACTAATGGCTCCATTGGGTTGCTTTTCAAAACATCACATTTTATGGTCTTCTCCACCTTATTTTGCAGTTTCTTTCTCTTCTCCTCTACCGTCATTCTAAAAAATAATGCACAATTTTATTTAGTTCATCATGAAATACAAGATTCAAGCATGGAGAGTACTTGCTTCTTGACTATTTTATGTTAAATCAGGGTGCATTTGTCCTGTTCTTCCTCTGTCATGATTGTCTTAATCAAGAGACCACATGGACAGCTGGTAGGACTTCTTAATACAACAGTTGTTAGTCATTTTCCAAAGGAAAATGTGTCTTGGAACAACCTGCAGCTCTTTTATGAGGAAACTTATCCATTGGTCAGTTAACAATAATTGTATTATTAACCAATTCATAAACAATGTATAGCTTATGCTGTGCAAACAGAAGGTCTGTTAGGATATATGCACAACACCAAACCAAACTGAGGAAGTACATTTTTGCTTAAAGTGAACCTGATACTAAAATACATTTTCAAAATAGACTGCTTCCTGCTTATAATGGATTGTATGTTTTAAAGATTGGGAATACAATAATAATAGGTACTATAACATAAGCCTCAATCCCACAATAAAACTGCTGCATGATACCTCTAAATTAAAAATGCTCAGCCACACAATTTTAGGCCATAGATATTTGGTGATAGTATGCCACATTTTTGTAATTTTGTGATACCACTGCAGGTCACACCAACCGTCAGGTAAAACAAACTTCCTGTTCTACTTTGGGCTCTAGGGAGGGATTATCATCAGTACTATAGACGAATAGCCTAACTGCCTAATGCCCATCATGAGATTGTTCTTACTACAAAGCCTTTTGGAGGTATGCAGATGTAACGCCCTCTAGCTTAGCCAAAGAGATTTTTTTACATTTTTAAAGTAGAGGCTGAGTAGCAGCCTGGGATGAGTCAGCCTGGAAGTGAGGTCGTCGTCTAAAGACAGATTGGGAGGCTCTAACAGGTCAGGGCTTCTGGAGCTCTACCACTCTTCCATAAACGTATAGAACCTTCTGTGGAGGGGGGCCAGATCTGCATGTTTGAGGGACCCTGGCCAATCTCTTGGCAGGAGGCTAGGCATGGTGTCCAGGGCAACCCTCAAAAGTGGCAGAGCCTATGCATCAGGGTCAGTGAGTGTTGGGTGTAAGATAGAGTGATAGGCTGGAGTGTAGAGCCTGGGAGGGGGCCCAGGGAAGGCGCCTACCTACAGGTAGGACCTGGAGAAGAGGTTCTCCACTGTACCACCTATCTCCAAGGGAGGACATCCCTAGCAGCAGGGAAAGAGCAAGCCCAACAAAAGGCCTGAAGGCAACCACCAATCCATTGAGCTATCAGGAAAGGACAGTGTGAGTACTCTTACACCCACTGAGCTGGAAAAGGGGAGAGGGAAGTCAGGTGGAAAACCCAACTAGCTTTTCATTTGGGACTGCTGTGCTAAATTTGCAGTTTCTGCCCCCCCGCCCAGGGAATACCCTCGGTGTAGCTGGGTAAAGAGGAATACCCTTAGTGTAGCTGGGCGAAGAGAGGATTCATCTGGAGTCTGAGGAGGTACACCAGAGAGACGGAATGCTCTTAAAGAAGAGATCTTTTTGTCCACATCTGTATATAGTTGCTAAGGAGTTTGACTCAAGTTCTAAACCCCTTAATAACATCACAAAACCAAACTCAAGGACTGTTTACTGACTCTGAGTGCAAAGTGTGGAAGAAAAATGTGTGCTGCCTGGCTGTGCAGAGCTTTAGGGGAACCCAAAACTCAGCGATTCCTAAAGGGGTGTTGCTACACATATATATGGATATATGGCCTCTCACTGGGTGGGCTTTAATGCTGAGAGGCTGCATATATGCGTCCCTATGTAAACATTTTCCTGTGCTGAAAGATCGTTCTCTGTGAGCTCCCAACACAGTTACCAGCGGTTACCGGAAAGCTCCCAATATGCACTGATCATGTGACCATTGTGACTGCCAATCATAGCGGTCACGTGATCGGAATGTCTGCCTCCCATCATTTAGAGCCTCCTAAAATGCCAAGAGGCAGTGGTGGGAAGGGGTTAAAAAGGCTTCTGTGTTGAAAAAATTGAGAACGGCAGATCGATAGCAATATGCAGATCTCAATGCACTCTCAGAAAAAGAAAATCTTTAGGCCTCTAAACATATTTCATAGCAATCTCTCAGTGGATGCAGAGTTGTCATAGCCCTCTCTCTAGTAACAAAAAGGTCACAGCATTATCTCTGGCAATATGAGTTACAGTCCTTTATCTGGTAACATGAAGCTCATAAATCTAATTTTTTTTTGTGTATTGTGCATTTAACTCTATAATCATAGCAACATTTTCCCATAGTTTGTATCATTCTCTGTGAACATGGCAGCATTGCCCTCTGCCAATTTATATTATCTATTAGTTCAGGGCTTGAAAAAGCCGCTAGCCCACTCGCCAAATGCGAGGAGAAATTGTCTATCGGTGAGTGGCGAGCACAGATGATGGAGCGGCTGCGCTCCAAGCCTCATTGTGAAGCCGAGTTCCGGTTTCCAACGTCCGGTTTCCGGCTTCTTCGGCACCGCCGCTGAGGGGACAGGTGCAGGAGTGGTGCGCTCTCCTCCGCTGAGAGGAGACACCCTCTCCACCGCCACGGGGGACTTGAGGAGTAAGTACTGTATACGTGTCATATCACTATAATGGAGTACAGGGGAGCTGGGATATACATTACCGTATACAGTTTTATATTTTGGACTCTTTATTCTAAAGAAAAATGTAATTTCATAAGCTTTTAGGGGGCGTGGTTGGGGGCAGGGCTGGGGGGTGGGATTGGGGGACGGTCTGGGGGTGGCGTTGGAGGCGGACCTGGGCAAAGTTGGGTGGGGAGTAAGGTTTGTGCCTGGCTAGTAGGTCTAAACTCGAAATTTTGAGCCTTGTATAATTAGTTACATGTCCCAGACGTAGCTTTGTAAAGAAGCACATGGACTCACTTGGGGATTGCAGAAAAGTCAAACACACAGCTTCTAGGTTGGCAGTTAGCTGACCTCCTGCTAACACCTTTTTAGTACAGGTGGGAATGGCAAAAAGAGGGAAATTATTGATCCGGAAGCTGTGTGGTCAGTAAGTGACTAGTACTAATCACAAGAGCAATGAACACGGCTCCAGATTGTTCCCCTCTTCCACTACCACTCACACCTTGTTCCGGGTGCTAGCCCTGTCCGCACCAGACTCCAACAGGCAAAGAAACATCTGATGGCTGCACATTCAGTAAAATCATCTTTACTAGAAATTACTTCTTATAAAATACTTCCACAAAACATGTCAGAGAATTCAGAATTCCAGCTAATGTTTCTTGTTCCATCAGCACTTAGTCATAGCTCTAAGAGCTGATGGAGTATGAAATGTGTTACCTGGAGTTCTGCATTCCCGGACATGTTTTGTGTGGAAATATTTTAAAAGAAGGAATTTCTAACAAAGGTGATTTTACTGGATGTGCAGCCAAGAGATGTGTTTTTGCCTATGATTAGTACTAATGTTTTAGGGGTGCCTCCCATCCTACAGATATTATAAGTGAGGAACAAGTACCTGGTTGTGTCTGCTCTATGGAACTGGAGATACCTGGGTTCCTTATACAACCACTTTAATTAAAATTGTTTAATCATACCCTTTTCCTTCCAGATCACAGACTTTTTGTATAGCTCCAGTCCAGTCAAATGTTCCAGGCTCATTTCTAAGACTTCGTTCATAGTACTCTCTGTTGCGATCAGTATAGTCTGCTCCAATGATCTCATCAAAAGCTTCACAAGCTGACAGGTCCTGATAAATGGTAGGTCCATGTCCAATATCAATTAAGGTTTTTCCCTTGACACCTCCTTTTAGAGAAATAAAAACACATTTAAATTGATTATTAATTATTATTATTAATTTGGCCAGTTTTGAAATACAGTATTTATATATGACATTACATCTGTGCATTTTAAAAAGAACAAAAACAACTTTTGATATCGCATTAATATGCTAAACCATATATAAGATTGGGGTGGTTGCCACTTGTTTGTACAGCTTGCCGACTGAATTTGGCTTGTGAGCACACTTGATGCCTCCAGATGCCGCCATTGTGATCTTGCCGGGCATCCAGTGTATTCCTGTTCCTTTAAGGAGGATTGGGCTCCCTCCAGACAAACCTTCCCTTAATCTATTTATCCACTGCTATATGTGCTCCAACTTGTAGAATCTCAAAACTACAGAGTTAGGACCGCAGTATACAGAGGAGCCTTGACATAAGCACTGCAGCTTACACATATATTTGCAAATGTATGCAACTAAACCCTCTGTTTTTAATGTAAATTGTTAAACAGGGTCAATTTGTTTTTTTTTTTTCGTTTTTTGCAGGCTGGCTGGTAAGTGTGCTGGGAAATTTTTGTTTGTTTGTGATGTGTGTTGCCCTTCCATGTCCACCTTACTGCAAAAGCAAGTTATAGATTGGGGTGGTTGCCAGTCGTTTGCACAGCTTACTGGCTGAATTTGGTCCCAGGACACACTGGATGCCTCCAGCTGCCAATGCGCTCTTGCTGGGCATCCTGTGCATCCCTGTGCCTTTACAAGGTGTGAGCTCCCTTCAGGCAAACCTGGCCTTAATCTATCCATCCACTGGTATATGTGATTCACCTTGGAGACTCTCAAAACTATAGTTAGGACCGCAGTATACAGAGGAGCCTTAGTAGTCACTGCTGCATGCACATATTTTTGCAAATGTCTGCAACTAAAACCTCTGTTTTTAATGTACATTGTTAGACAGGGTCAATATGGTTTTTTTGCAGGCTAGCTGGTAAATGGGTTGGGAAATTTTTGTTTGTGTTAAACCTTATATCAGAGTTTAATGATTGGGTTTAGATGGGCAGATTAAATTACTGAAGCAATACTGCTGCAAAAAGTAATGTTAAAGCCCTGTTACCTCTAAAAGAATATTCCAAATAATCATCTTTCCTGGTGCTTACGCTAGACAACACAGCTTAGTTTGCTAGTCCTCATTACCTGATTCACACTAGGAAATGGACACTTCCAGGAGTGTCAATCTCCAGAATCACTTTAAACCCAAATGCAGATTAATAATTTCCTCTCGTAGTCCATTAACTGGGAATATGTTAGCACAATTCAAAGGTGGAACTTTAACAATGGTCCCATATTGACCTGTTGGATTTTAACAGATTCTCCTAGCCTTCCTAATGATGACCTGCCCTGTAGCTGTACGCAGAGACTCACCGACTGACAGCAGCAGACAAAGAGACAGACAGACTTTGTATTCAAACTTGCTTTCAGTTTCTTTGACCTCTACCACAGGCATGGTTAGGACTTGTCAGGCCTCTGTCACAGGCCAGTTTGGACACTATAGGCCCAGACAGCAAGCTAGGAGAACAAAACACCTTTCTTGACTCTGGCTTCCTCATCAAGGCAAAGAGCTTAGGTGGCATGGACTAGACCTCTCTGAAACTACACAAGACTGGACCCTGCGGCCTTTAAAACCTCATCATCATGCAGGACCTGGGATGTAAAGACCCTTCTAGAAGAATTCTATAAATATTTATCCTCTTCCTCAGCCCTCCTCGGTGATTGGCCAGGGCAGACATATTCACAACCCAATACATTGCTCCTTCTCACTGTACCTACTGGAGAATAATGTATAGCTGCAAACACTAAACTTGTACTAGTAGCACTCCAATGTAAGGCAAGGTCCCTACAGATTCAGTTCTGTAGTGTCATAGGTGCAGCAATTTCATTTTTCCCCTGACCAGAATTGGTTTATGTTATAATGCTGTGGAATGCAAGTGTTAGTGTAGCATTTAATTTGTATCCAAGTATCTGCGACTCAAAGCAGCCTTTTTCAACCAAGGTTCCCAGGCACCCTGGGTGCCTTCAGGCTTCTTCTGGGGGGCCTTGGAAAAATGCCCAAAATTTGTATACAAGCCAGCAGGTGGATCAATTCTGCCTTTTTGTACACAAAGCAACGGGTTTTCATTGTACACTTTTATGACCTTCTAGCTGCCGGTGTCCTGACAACCAATGCCATCATCAGTTGATAAGGAGGACATCGGGTGCATGCATATTATTATTAATTTTATTATTATACAGTATTTATATAGCGCCAACAGTTTGCTCAGCGCTGTACATTATAATGGGAGACAGTACATGAGACAGCACAGTTACAATACAATACACAAGGGGTTCGAAGGCCCTGCTCCTTGGAGCTTACAATCTAGGAGGGAAGGGAGAGGGTACAGGAGGAAATAGCTGTGGGGGGTGGGGTGGTGGGAAGAGCGAAGCAGATGGGCAGTTAGGTGAGGGCGGGGTAGGCTTCTCTGAAGAGATGGGTTTTCAGGGTGCACCTAAAGGTGAGGAGGGTAGGAGACAGTCTGATGGATTGGGGTAGTGAGTTCCAGAGGATGGGGGAAGCCCTGGAGAAGTCCTAGAGATGGGCATGGGAGGAGGAGACCAGGGAACTAGAGAGTAGGAGGTCTTGTGAGGAGCGGAGAGTGCGTTTTGGGTGGTAGATGGATATCAGGTCGGTGATGTAGGTTGGGCCAGTGTTATGAACAGCTTTGTACGTCAATGTTAATAATTTGAATTTTATGCGTTGGGCAATCGGAAGCCAGTGGAGGGATTGACAGAGGGGGGTGGCGGATATGAAGCGGTTAGTAAGGTGGATGAGTCTGGCCGCAGAATTCAGGATAGAGTGAAGCGGGGATAGCCTGTGTTGAGGTAGGCCGGCGAGGAGGGAGTTACAGTAGTCAAGTTGTGATATAATAAGGGAGTGAATGAGTTGCTTTGTAGTTTCTGGAGTTAGGAGCGGGCGTATTTTGGAGATGTTGCGGAGGTGGAGTCTACATGAATTTGTTAGTTATTGGACCTGGGGCTGAAAGGACAGATTGGAGTCTAGGATGACACCTAGTACTCTGGCTTGCGGGGTGGTGGCGTGGCGTGTTGGTCGTGATGGAGAAGTCGGGGGGGGGGGCGCGGGCTGGGGGGAAAACTAGGAGCTCAGTTTTGGCAAGGTTTAATTTGAGGAAGTGGAGTGACATCCAGTCTGATATGTCGTTCAGGAGGCTAGTGATTCGGGAGGAGACTGAAGGGGTGAGGCGGGGGGTAGAGAGATAGATTTGAGTGTCATTGGCATAGAGATGGTAGTTGAAGCCGTGGGAGTGTATCAGTTGAGCAAGGGTGGAGGTGTAGATGGAGAAGAGAAGGGGCCCGAGGACAGAACCTTGGGGGACCCCAACAGAGAGGGGGAGTGAGGGGGAGGTGGCAGCGTTATAGGTAACACTGAAGGAGCGCTGTGATAGATTGGAAGAGAGCCAGGAGAGAGCGGAGTCTCTGAGGCCAAAAGAGTATAGTTTTTTTTTTGAGGAGGGGTGGTCGACCGTGTCGAAAGCCACAGAGAGGTCGAGGAGTAATAGCACTGAGTAGTGGCCATTGGCTTTGGCGGTTAGCAGGTCGTTGGTGAGTTTGAGTAGGGCAGTTTCGGTGGAGAGTAGGGGATGGAAGCCAGATTGTAGGGGATCAAGGAGGTTGTTGTCGGTGAGGTGGGAGCTTAGGCGATTATAGACTAAGTGCTCAAGGAGTTTGGATGAAAATGGCAGCAGGGAGATGGGTCTAAGGTTGTTTAGGTCGGTGGGATCCAAGGAGGGTAAGTGTTTTAAGTATGGGAGTGATGTGCACGTGCTTCAGAGGGGAGGGAAATGAGCCAGTAGAGAGGGAGAGATTAAAGATGTGGGTGAGGGAGCATAGGATGGAGGAGGAGGGTGATCGTAGGAGTTGTGTGGGAACATGGTCAAGGGGGCAGGTGGTAAGGCGAGCTTCAGAGAAGACCTTAGTGACTTCTTCAGTGGCAGCAGGGTCGAAGGAGTGGAGTATTGAGGGGGTTTTAGTGTGAGGAATGTTGGGCGGGGTGGAGGTCTGGACAGTGGCGAGATCGAAGGAGAGGAGTGTTGAGGGGGTTTTCGTGTGAGGGATGCTAGGTGGGGCGGAAGTCTGAGCAGTGGTGATGTCCCTGCGAATTGCATTGATCTTGCTTTGGAAGTGGTTAGCAATCTCGTGGGCGGTGAGTGAGGTGCTAGGTGGAGGTGAGGGCAGAGAGAGCAGGGAGTTGAAAGTGGAGAAGAGCCGGGGAGGACTGGAGGAGAGGGTATTGATGAGGGTTACAAAGTAGGCTTGCTTGGCAGCGTAGAGGGAGGAAGTGTAGGTGAGGAAGGCGGATTTATATCGGGTGAACGCTTGTTGGGATCTGGTATCATATCATCCTTGTTTGCCTCTCCCTTACCCCTCTCTCTCAGCACTGGGGTCACATTAACCAAAGTGCAAAGGTGTATTTGTTTTATAAGAATAAATCACCTCTAACGTCAGGTGTACTCGATGTATGTAGAATGTTTTTTACATTTTAGAATGGGGTGCCTTGAGATTGTACAGGTTAAGAAACACTTACACATAGCATTTGAAGCAGTTGTGCATGCCAACAGAATATTTGTCATATCTAACAATCTAATGTTTTTTGCTAGCATAGGGGCATATCCCTTGAAATGCATCAACTCCTTGTTTTGCCATGGTGTGCTGTTCAGTTTCTGCCTACCCAACTCAGTCTTGATCCATCTAGAGCAGGGGTCTCTAAACTTTCTAAACAAAGGGCCAGTTTACTTTCCTTTAGTGTTTAGGGGGGGCCGGACTGTGGCCATTGGGAGTAGATAATGCCTCAGGCTTGGTAATCAGTGGAAGTAAAAAAAAAATACATAGCACCCCTGTGGTCAGTACAAAGTGTAATAGTGCCCCATAATTGGTATAGGCAGGTGGAATAGTGCCCCTATCGTTGATGTCAGTGGTAGGAAGAGCGCCCCATTGTTGTTGTCAATGAAAGGAATAGTACCCCATAATTGTGCCGGTGGGAAGAATAGTTCGCCATCTTTGGTGTCAGTAGAAGTAATAGTGCC